CGTGCGCCGCAGCCATCGTGTCGCATCCATCCAGCCCAGCAGGAAACAGCTCTAACCAGCAAGCGCCATGCAGCCCAGCAGCCTGAGGGCCACGGTGGGGTCTGGGGACGCTTTAGTCCGGCGGAGGGAGGGCGAGGAGGTGCTCCGGCCTGTATGTGCGTGATTAACAGTCCAACGGGCAGGGGCTCCATCCAGCAGACAGCATGCACCTGATTGATGGCTGCGTGACGTTTGTTCTGCCAAGCTTGTGCCGTCAGACGCCGGCGGACGCCTGGTAAGCATTTGGGAAGGGAAGTGAGGGTTAAGTGCATCATTTGGCAGAACAAGGGGGATTTTGCACTGAATTGGAAAGCTTGAACCCGTCCGCTGCAATGGCCTGTGGAGGTACGCCCACAAAAGATTTTTCCGCAAACCCCCAGGCCCCTCAGGGCTGCGCGTCTGACACAGAGCACCATGCGGCGCAGCGCGGCGCGCAGCAGCAGTTTGCGCAATGGCGCGCGAGCGCCCTGCGGCCGCGCTCCTCAGCACCTTTTGTGCTGCAGCAGCCATGCGTTTAAGGTCCCTGTTGCTCCCTTTGGCTTGATCAGGCGCTCTCAGAGGCCCTTGTGCGTGTGACAAATTTGCGACGACTGCGACGTCGGACTAAGCTTGGACTCAATACAAGGGCTAATTACCTCTTAAGCTTCGTGTGATACGTAGATCTACAGGGGAGTTGGGTCTTCGCACGCGTGGCCCCGCAGGCGTGCTGCACGGTCATGCCATGTGTTTGGAAACATATGTTTGTGAACGGTTTGAGACTACAAAAATGAAGAAATGATACATTGTATCCTTCACGCCAGGTTTATGCACGCGACGGTGCGTCTCACCGTCAGCGCAGCTGCGCCGCAAGCAGCTGTTCTGAAGGCACCCCAGCAGCACAGCTGCCGCTGCAAGCACCCCTGCTTTGCACATCCCACCTCTATGGCACCTGGATCTGCCTGTGTGTCTCACAGGCCCCACAACATCATACTGCATTGCTGGAATCCCAAATGCCGCTGCTCGACCCACGCAGCTCCACAAGCTGCGTGTGCACGTGCTCGGGGCATGTGCAACACCACCATGCCCAAACCTCCTGCTCAAAATCCTAGCATCTCCGGCACAGGGTGTTGTCATGCTGATGATCAGCGATCCTTCATGCTCACAAGTGGTGACCCATCTGCAGCCGACAAACAGCAGCACTGGAGGGTTAGCCTCGATGGAATGCAGACTTGCTACCAAAACCAGACGTCAAGCTTCAGAGGCATTCACCCCATCACAAAATCATAATCTGAAAGGGTCAAAGTATGTGTACTGATTGGCCAGCATCAGCTCAGAGGGCCTTGGTGATGGCCCAACCTCCTGGGACCTTGCTACAGACATGTATGATGAAATTTACACAACGTCCTTGAATAACCTCAAGATGCTACAGGGGATTCCATCGCTCACATCACGTATGCGTAAGTTCCACAGGCTGCTGGAAAGTTTGGAAGGGCAGCGCCTGTTGACTGCCGATCGCTGTTTGTCGCCTCTTCGCCGCAGGCCTGCAGCGCTCGCCCAGGATGATGGAGCCAAACCTCCTGCCCCTCAGACATTTGTATACAAAAACAATCATCTGTCTGAGCACATTCAGCCAGTGCGACAGGGCACGCCGCCGCCCCAGGGTTCTTTCGCGCGGGTATGCTGCACATCCAGTCATGTGGGTGACTGGCGGGTGACCGCACTCGTTTATGGCGTGCGAGCCGCAGCGCGTTCGCTTTATCTAATACATTTTATTCAACTACGACCGTCAGCATGACATCCGAGCCCCTGCTGGGCGAAGTGACGGAGAAGGCAGTGGAGGGCCTCGGGTGCTGCGCGCGGGCCCTCGAGTGAGCTCAAAGGGGCTGCACGAGCTGTATTTATTCCTGGGTACGCCTTCGATGCGCAGCAATACAGGCATCGGCGCGGCCGCTCCCGCTTTCCGTCATGGCAACAACAGGGCGCCGGTGAGCATAGCACCTCACCAAACAGCCCCCTGGTGTCCGCGCACCCTGTTTCCGCCACACTCCCCAGAGGCTTCCGCGACTTTATCTCCCGCGGAGATGTCGTTTCCCTGGCGGTGGCCGTGGTGGTGGGGAGCTCGTTCTCAGCTCTGGTGAGGCCGGATGCACCCCCACCCCTGGCATATGCCGCCGGCACCGGGTGCTGCCAAGAGCTGGGGCCCATCACCAACCCCTCACGCACAAAATATCACAACACATGTCGCACATGTGAAGGCGAATCAGTCTTCTGAATCAATAGTCCCCAGGAGAAAGCTTAGAACCCCAGGCTGGCAGCCCTGTGTTGTTGTATTTGGTCCCACCCAAACGCACACGTGCTCGGCAGAATTACGCACTACGCACATTGTTTGCTGCCGTGGCTGGCGCCGTTGCCATGAGCTGCTTCCACCCCCTTACCCTCCTGCTCACTGCTCCTCCACCCCTGCTGCCGCTCTTTCCCTGTATTTGAAAACACCGAACCCATGCCCACGCTCATTTCCACGCCCCCCCCCCCACACACTCTCTCTTAGACACTCACATACACACATACACACAAACACACAAACACACACACACACACACGCACGTGTGCACACGTACCCACACACGCACCCCTTTCCTGCCCACTCACGCACAAACACACACGCGTACGCACGCACAAACACACACGCGTACGCACGCACGCACACACACACGCACGCGCACACACACACACACACACACACACACACACACACTTACTCCCTGCACGCTTGCGCGTGCGCACTTTCTTCCCAGGTGGACGCCTTTGTCGCGGACTGGCTGACGCCGCTCATCGCCGTCTTCTTCAGATCCACCGGCGATTTTGCCGAGGCCAGCTTCGAGGTCCACGGCTCCGTCTTTAAATACGGGTGAGGCGCATGCGCTGGGCTGGACTGGACTGGAGTACGACAACTCAGACTGACCAGCAGCAATAGCAGACCCTTTGACGGGGTGCTGTCCGACTCTATTTACTGCCGGAGAGCGCACGCAAGACCGTCTTCGTGGTTCATGGGCGCAAGGGCGCGGCTCCAGGCCGGGCTCGCCGTCGCGCCGACCAGCGTCGAGCCACGTGGTGCGGCCACAGGCAAGGGCTGCCCGCCGCTCACAGCCTTGACAGACGCGCCCGCGCCCTCTTATTCCCTTCCCCCCCCCCCCCAAACACCTCATGACAATCCCAGCGACTTCATCAACGCGTTCACCACGTTTTTGGCAAACTGCCTGGTCATCTACTTCCTGGTCGTGCTGCCCATGAACAAGCTGGTGGCCAGCCGCGCGGCGGCCGAGGAGGCGGCGGCGCCAGAGCCCCCCTTGCTGCACACCCGAGAGTGCCCAGAGTGAGCCGCCGGCCCCCGCTGCCGGGCGGGCGGGCGCCGGGCGGCGCGGCGGGCGGAAGGGGGGCGCCGGCAGCCGGCGGGCGAGCCGACGGCAGCAGCTACATGCCCTCACACTTGCGTGGCCGCCAGCTGCGGCTGCATACGAGATCGGATCGCACGACAAGCGAACGCATGCATGCTTTCCCACAGCCCCTTTCTGCCCCGACATGGCTCCCAAATGCCACCTTCGACCTATCACCCCTCAGCACCAACGTCCACGTTGATAGCACAACCACCCTCCCCCCTTCCCCACCCAGGTGCCTGTCCGAAATCCCCGCCCAGGCCAGGCGCTGCAGAAACTGCACCGCCAACGTGAAGCCCCTGCCCCCGCCCCAGGTGGTCACGCAGTGAGCGGCGTTTGCAGCCACAAGTCCCCGCCCCCTGCCTCGGCCCCCGGGGTCGGCGAGCAACGCTGGCGGGGCGGATCGCTGCGTGGTCGGAGGCCGGCGGCGGGGCCGCGGGTCCAGGCAAGGCAGCAGCTGTCTCAAGTTCTGGCAGTGATCTGATTCGCGACGAACCTTCCCCGTGCGGTCAACGGCGCGCGCCCGACTGCCGGAGTGTGGGACGTTTTCGACGCCGCGCGCCACGCCGCGCGGCCCTCGGTCGCTGGCGCGTGTTTCATTGATACGCCGCTGTATCAACAGCAGCGGCGCGCCACCGCAGCGGTACACGGCAACCTTGCCTTCCCTGTGCTCCCCTGCCCTGCTGACCGTACCGCATGGTTTGCATGACGTGACGTGCTCTAATTGACCCGTGGGCAGCGCGCACACAAGCACTTCACTCTCATCCATCACCAATACCCAACAAGCAATGAATGGTGCAGTATTCACTTTGGGTCATCGCGGGGCCTCGCGCATCGCACGCGGCGCGGGGCCGATCAATTTGATTTGCGATTGCGGCGGTCGTACCTTGGGCGACAAGCAAACGGACCACGCGATACGGCGGAGTGCGTCGCGCTCACGCACGACTGCGTCGCCCCAGAGGTCAGGGTTTTGCGAGGGCAGAGCCCCACTGACCGCTGTTGCCTGCCGTTTGACTTACTGGGCGTGAACGTGTCATTGCTGCCGGCACCTTACTCCACGCAAGTCACCCGCGGCCGCCGAAACCACGGCGGTTTTGGGCGGCTGGCATCCCAACAGTCGGGCAACAGGGGGGGCGCTGGTCGCTGGACCGGCAAAAGGAATGTCTGAACATGAGCGACTCACGGGGGAGACGGAGAGGACGCAGCAAACAGAGGGATGCGTACGCGACGCGCGCCCGCCTGGTTGCGCAAAGCGAGTGCAGCGAAACACGGACACGTTAAAAGGGGGGTGCCGGGACACCTCACACGCGCGCCCCCCACGCGTCCGGGGACGCGCGCCCGTCGGCACCATCACTGCCATGAAACTTGAAGAATGCAGGCCAGGCTGCAGGAAAACAGCCCTCTGAAAGTACCGCTGACACAAGATCCACACAAAATCGAAGGGCCGTGTTACCCCAGTCAGGCCTCGCGCGGCTCGCCCGCCGAGCACGGGACAGGCACAGCCGCCGCTGCCGCCAGGGGCGCCAGGTCAGCAGGGGAGGGAGGCCGCGGCCGCGGCGCAACAAACTGGGCAGGCGGGCGTCACGCGAGGTGGGGCGGCGGCGTCTGCTGCATCGCCTCTACGGCGCCCCATCTCGTCATGCGCTGCGGAGGGGAGCGACCGGGTGGGGGGGTGCACAGCGGAGCGGAGGTATCGCGTTTGTTGATTTGATCCGAGAGCCATGATGTATGAGTCATTAGGGCTGCCGAATAGCAGGGCTGAGGGGGGTGACGGACGGGTGTGTTGGCTGAAGGAATGGCACAGAGCAGGCGCCGCCGCGGCTGCGAGCAGGGACGCTTCATGGAGAGCGCAGCAAGCGTGGGCGCTGCGCCGCCCTGGCGGCGGCTCCGGCGTGATGCGAGGGGCCAGCGGCCCCTGGGGCTGCCGAAAACAGGGTGGTGGGGGCGGCGGGAGGTGGGGATGGGGAACGGCTCACCGGCAGGCTGACAGAGCCGTCTGCGTGTGTTGTGCCCTTTGCTATGTCGTCCACGACGGCGGTCGAAAGGTTGCTGGTCTGCGCTCACGCGTGTGAGGGTGCGTGTGTGCGTGTGTGAAAGTGCGCATTTGTGTGTGTGTGTGCGTGTGTGTGAGTGTGTGTGTGTGTTTGTGCAGGTGAGTGCACGGGAGGGCATCTCCGTGCGCATACTTGTGTGTGTGTGTGTGTGTGTGTGTGTGTGTGTGTGTGTGAGGTTGGGAAATCGGCACCGGGTGGAGGTGTGTCAGCCTTGTGATGGAATGACGTGGCACAAGGCACAAGGCAAAACCGCAACCCTGGGCAAAAAACACCAGACTCGGTCTCCCCAGCATTTCAGCTGGCAGCCGCGGGGACGTCCGCCACACCCAATTCTTTAAAATTCTTGGAGAGAATTCAAAGAAAAACGCGGGGGCGCTGAGTTGGCGGCGCCCAGCAGCGCCGGGGCGGGCACCCGCTGCGGCTGCGCGCCCTCCGCTGATCCGCGGCCCGCCCGCTGCATCCTCAGCGCACACATGCCAGCCAGCCAAGACCCGCCACGCGCGTGCCGCTGCGGCTCGCGGCGTGAGTGATGGCGGCGGCTCACCCTCATCAGCTGCGCCTTGCTGCCGAGCCGCTGCCAGTGGGCGCGGAGCTCCTGCGCCGCCGAAGCCATAGCCGGCACGAGAGACTCTGGGGGTGGCGGGGGGTGGGCAGAGGGTGCACACGCAGGCGTGTTCGACAGGGGACGGTGGAATGGAGTCACTCACACGGTGTTGCTTTCAAGGGGCGAGGGGCGGCATGAATTTTACGCGACAAGGGGCGGCGCTCTGTGCAGATCAAGTGCGTCAAGCATTGCCGCAACGATGGGTCAGGCGGCAGGCAGGAGTGCGCGATGAGGATCGCGCCGCGGCCGGCAGGCAGGCAGGCAGGCAGGCAGGCAGGCAGGCGCCGCCGCCGCGCCCGCCCCGGGTGACTGGCGGGGCTTTTGGGAAGGCGGGGGTCGAGGCGTCGTGCGTGGTGTCAGCATGACGTCACCAAAGGGGTTGAGGGGGACCCGCGGCTCACCGGCCAGAGGTATGAGGTACGCCACATCAGCGGCCGCGCACGTAACCAGGTCATCAGTCATGGGGCGCTGCTGCCACACTCTGGGGTGACGTGGCGGTTACGCGGTTGAGGGGGTTAGAGTGCTGGGGCTGATGATTTTCATGGCTGCGGTGCTCGAATGCGGACGGGAGGGGAGTGGAGTGGACACAGAAGAAGGGGGTTCAGGATGCATCAGGTGCGGAAAGGTGTGCGTGAGGAGCGGAAAGGCCATCCACGTGGCGTCTTCAGTTGCAAAAACAATACGGGTTAAGGGGCAGCGCCGGCGGGCGGGGCTTTGAGCAGGCGCCGCACGCGAGGGCCTGTCGACGCTCGGCGGCGGGCCAGGGGTGGACGTGGTCGGGGCGAGAGCATTGACCAGCCTTTGACCGCCGGTTGACCGCCCTTCGGCCGCCTGCTGACCATCTGTTGACCGGCCCCTTCAAGAGCGAGACCAAGCCTTTCTGACACCCGAACGCTTCCGTCCCGGCGCGGCCTATCCGCACAATCGCGCGGCGCACCTCTTCTGACCGTCGGTCTCCGAGTCGTGCCTTACCGGGTGATGCAGCCCGTGGGCGCGCAGCAGCGCGCTGAGGCTCACATCAGCGCTGCCCGCCACCTGCGTGGCAGTTTGTGTGTGTGCGCGCGCGCGTGTGTGTGTGTAGTGGGGGTAGGGGTGAGGG